GTGATAATAGTAGTTCAAAAAGAAATCAGAGACATGTAACATACTTGGATATCTCTGACTGGTTGTTTTTCTCTCCATCAACAGTAAAAGGTGATGCACCTGTTAACAGTTCATACATGAGAACTCCAAGACTCCACCAGTCTACAACCTGTGTACAGTTGATAATACATTAATAATGTTACAAGTGCCTAATTATTGACGTCATAGGATTGTACTTACATTATCATGACCCCTACTTCCACCTTTGACTACTTCTGGTGCCATGTATTCTATTGTACCACAGAATGAGTAGGCTCTTTCACCCTAATCAACAACATGATAATGAATCATCACACCACAGGAAGACCACATCACCTCGAAATAATCATACATACTCATCTCTTCTAAATTTATATTTTATTTTTGATGAGCCACATACAGCAATATTGAATGGAATAGCATTATTTTTACAAACATYGACTCTAAAATAACAATATTGAGAATAATTGAATACCATATCAAGTTCTTCTACATCATTTAAATTATATTATTTTTTGACTCAATATCAAACATTTTCTTTTTCAAATATTCAATTCTGAATAACTGATTGATTGCTGGTATAAAACGTCATAAAACGTCAACATTGTTTCAGGGGGGTCGGTTTGCAGATTCTTTTTTTCAAGGGCATCATGCCAAAATGTCTACTTTCTAGTTWGATGGACGTAAAAATGATTTTTCCTTCCTCCTGCATGTCAGCTTATTAGATCATAGTGATTTAACGTACCGAATTGGGCTTTGAGAATTCCTTACTGAGACCAAAATCAGTCAAAACTGCATGTCCCTCGGAGTCTAGTAGAATATTCTCCAGTTTGATATCCCGATAAATTATTCCAAGCTAAAAAACACATGTAAGTAAATTGTTTTATTTACACCAAATTAAACTCTTTATATTTGTCAAAGATCGAAATAATTGTAATCAAGACAGATTTTATGCATTATTCCATAATTTACCAACAAACAAAAGAAAGAATAAGGATTCCCTGAATGCAAAGGTTTCGATGTGTGAATTGGCAACAATATAATATAAAACATATGATGTTTGTGTCAAGATCACACGAACACTAACCCGATGTAAATGTTCTAACGCTATGACGATTTCTCCAATGTACAAACGAACTTCATCTTCGCTAAATTTCTCCCTTTGGTATAAATGAGTAAAAAGTTCTCCTCCGTTCACATAATCTAAAAGAAACACACAAATAATTGTTTTTGACGCAATATTGAAAAATGTTATTGAAATGGGTTTTCTGCCTGTCACTTTTGCACATTCAATTGCAAAGCAAGAGTGGGAAAACTATATCTTACAATGTACATCATGTAAGCTAGATTTTCTGTGGCTGTATCTAAAATATAWTGCATACAAAACATGTTAGAATCATTTAATTTGAAGTTCAATTACCCATTATCAAATGGAGTTTCGCTTCGGTTTGAAAAGCCCAGTGTAGAGTGACAAGAAAGGGACATCTTCTCACGGCTTCCAACACTTGGCGTTCTGTCCTTGTGTGTTCAGCAGTTTTTGCCTTCTGCACGATTGTAGCTTTCTTTAAAACCTTCATTGCGAACAGCCTACCAGAATAATGTCCGCCTCTCTTGCGGACAAGAAACACTTTGCCATATGCTGTATATAAAAAAAATAGCAAGAGAAACATTAACTGAAAATGAAATCAATTTCAAACGCAATCTTGTATGTAAGGTTATAACAACACAAGTTTTGACCATGAAAGCTGGTTGAAGCTTTACCTCCGGTGCCAAGAACTTTTAAAAGTTCAAAGTTCTCAATGCCAACCTTTTCATCTTGAACTTCTGTTAGGTTAGCTAGGATAAGATTGAAAAGGACTATTATTTAGAGGAAAATGAGCGCGGTATGAATATACACTGTAGATATATTCGAGGGTCTTCTCGAAGCACGACAATACAAATCCACAAGTGGCTTACTCTGATGAATGTCAATATGAACAAGACCAGGTTCTCCGTAGCCATTGTTCGTCATCTTTAGCATTGCCAGAAGAAGATTGTAGGCTTTTTAAGCCCTTTTTAGGAGCAAAACATTATGTTTTGGCAGACATTGGAGTAAAAGTTCAGTAGGTTTTGGTGGATTTGCCAAACTCGGCATCTGATTGGTTGAGTATCTGTTATTTCGACTGAAGTCACGTGATACTAAGCCTTTGGGGGAGAAGGCCGGACGTGAATTTGATTAACAAATAAATTTATTGTAGCATGGATATGCTTAAATTAACATACACATTTATAAACAAATATCAGGACAATTATCATAACATGCACAAAAAAAATCAATTTTGATCCTAAGAACGTGAAAAAAATAAAAGTAAAGTCTATGCAAAAATAAAATAAAATAAAATATCAAAATCCGTGAAATAATAAATAAATAAATAACCGAATAAAACATTCTGCTGGACAAGCTTTATCCGGGCTTCCGGCACAAAAGAAGCCCCGCAAAAAAGGCTAGGCTGCAAAGGAGACTACTTTTTATATTTGTGCGTATGTCGACTATGTCGTGTTACATCGTATGTTCATAATGGTCAAATAACCTTTAAGACTGTCATACATCGGAAATAACTATTGACTTTGGTACTATAAGCAATGATAAAGATRTTGTGTCAATAAAAGTACAAAAATATATTTTGTTCGTTTATTGAAATCTACGGAAATCCTTGTTCACTCGTTTATATCATCAAAACTTGATAATTGCAATTCTCTACTATATATGGCCTCCCTAGATATCTAATGGATCGTCTACAAGCTGTCCAAAATGCCTGTGCCCGTCTTATCATGCTTTCTAAAAAAACGTGACCACATTACACCTCTACTTATCGATCTTCACTGGCTTCCTGTCTCCGCACGTGTCAAGTTTAAAATTCTCCTTCTGACTTTCAAAGCTCTTCATGGCCTGGCTCCTATTTATGTTCAAGACATGCTTGTAAAATATCGTCCTTCTCGTTGCCTTCGTTCGTCKTCTCAACTGKTACTGTCTTCCAAGTCTTACAATCTYAAAAGTTATGGTTATCGTTCTTTTAGTGTTGCTGGACCTTTTCTATGGAATTCACTYCCAWCTTCAATCAGAGACATTTCTTCWCTTGACAWWWWTAAAACTGCTCTTACTAGTAAAACCTTCTTATTYAAACAAACTTATGATCTGTAACTCTATTGTAACTTTCTTTATCTTAATTTTTACCTTTTTATTTGCGCTTAGAAAAAAGTTATTTGCTCATTGCTCCTGAAAGTTACTCAACGAACTTTAATTTAAAGCCGATTTTTTGACTTTTTGACCCAGAATTGTCATCATTTTTGTGTCCCTTTAACTCGAATAAATATTCAGTCAATAGCTAAGTCCATCCTATAACATTTCTGAAAACAGTATGCCCGCAATACACAGTACCAAGTATAGCACGAGCTTATGTTGGACCCGGTCGACCCAGTCAATATATCGCTTAAATTTCTAGACGACACATTGTTACCTTCTCTTCACACTTCACATTATCAATACAGTGATGTAAAAAAACCCAAACCACGATTCGACTAAGCGTATGGCACGGGGTTATGTACATCTGCGGTCATATAATTATTGAGCTGTCCCTAATTGGCAGGAGGAGCCAACGGGTTCTGTTCTTCTAAAGAACTGTTCTTGTACGAATTTTTTCCTGGAAAAGGGATTTTGAGCTACTATTGTTGGGTTGTTGACAATGTCACATGCACATGTGCCGCCCTTCCTTCTTTAAATTGTTCCTGGAAAACGTTTTTATGGTTAAAAAGGCGCCTTTTATAGCATTTTTATGTTAAAAAACGGCTTATATTTTTTAGTTAGGAAATTTTTATTTTCCTGGCAAAAATTCTTAGAAAGTATTCCTTGCCTGGAGAGTTCTTTTTTCCTGAATTTTTCGCTAGCAACCAGTTGTGACCTGACTGGGACATAAACAGATATATTTCTCACAGGAAGCCGTCGACTCCTCATAAATTGGACATGATTTTCACACTCGTTCTAGTCTCCCTTTCAATTGCGGAAAACTATTTCATTTCGACATTCTTTTTCTCTAACGCAAATTTATCTGTGAATACAAAGGCAAAAAAATCTCATAAAACCCCTGAACATGCCTCCTGAGAGCGCTTCTTTCGTTGTTTGAATGAGTATGAATCCCATTCAAATTTCATTTCTTTTTATTCATTTGCTCATATTTCTGTTTCTATATTTTTGAATCCTAAAAAGGGGATGGCTAGCCACCATATTTACCCCCTCCTCTTTTAATCCACCTTTGCTGTGTGGTCGCGGCTGATGATAGTTGTGAAAGACCTCGTCAATTTAGCAATCATGTCAAAATTTATGTAAAAAAACAGTCATAGAATAACATAACAGTCATATTGGTGTCTCAGGATGGATTTAGATGCTCGGTTGAATTGTATCCAAGTATCTGCAGGCATTGTTCACCGTTATGTCGTAAGGCGGAGTTGATCGACGTATCTTTTACGTAAAAATCAGGGATCCACCAACGCCAAAGGTTGTAAGTGATGGCGTATCTGTAGATATGACCCTTTTTGGGTTGGGGTGGGGTGGGGGGTTACTCCCTCCCCAACTTTATAACTGATAAAGGTCAGCATTATTAGTATTTATTTATATAATACTAATAAGTAGTCGGTTTT